ACGATGATTTTTCACAGTGATTCGTGATTCTTCGTGATCGCTTCTGATTGGTACAAAACATTCACTTTTCACGAATTATGCTGTCCTTAGGTTATACAGGGTGTCCCAAAAGTCGGGGAGGAGCTGGAAATGGGGGGTAGCTGAGACGATTCTGAACAACAATTTCCTTTGCAAAAATGTCGGATGGGGCTTCGTTAAGGAGATATTAAGCGAAAACCCCGACCAATCAGAGCGCGCGTAGACCGTTGGAGCGGCCGCGGTAGCGTAGGCTACGCGCTGACGGCCGCGCTTGCACGCGAACAAGTGACTCGACGTGCATCGAAGCATCGACCTAGCGGCGTAGCCTTCGCTACCGTGGCCGCTCCAACGGTCTACGCGCGCTCTGATTGGTCGGGGTTTTCTCTTAATATCTCCTTAACGAAGCCCCATCCGACATTTTTGCAAAGGAAATTGTTGTTCAGAATCGTCTCAGCTACCCCACATTTCCGGCTCCTCCCCGACTTTTGGGACACCCTGTATAAGAAATGCGCTTCAGGTTGTACCATAATATGGTCTAAAAGCAATGTTAATATAATTTTAATACAATTTAAATTTGACGCGTTTGTTGTTTTCTGAATTTCCGCTAAGGGGAGACAGCGATACACTAACGATAATAATTAACATGAACCGCTTCTGAAACGCCATCTTTCGGATCACGGTCGTGATCGAAGTTTAATCACGACTGCTATCGCGATTGTGTGATCACCGTGAAAAATCATTGTTAGTGATTTTTCACGCCATCCCTACTTTGGAGTCAGGTGGTTAGGAACACCCCTGTGAAAACAGGTCAAAGACCGCCGACGAGCCCCTCTACCTAATCCTCTGTCTCTCTCTGTCTAAAATTTGAAGGCAATGAATTTTTATCGATCCGGCAGTGACAATTTGCACGCTAGATGACAAAAGGCTACCGATAACGGGAGCGATTGTACAATTAATAATTAAAAATAGAAATTTATAAAAAATTTGTTTGAATTTAATGTAAAAAAAAAACAAAAAAAAAAAAACAAAAAAAAACGACATTACTTTCCAGTAAACCTAATATATTTACTAAAACTAAAGAATGGAGTAAGAATATTGAGCAAATTCGCTGTAAGAATGCTCAACGATAAAGTGTTAATTCTATAGAAAACAAGTTACGATGATATATCGGCTCTCTAAGGTTAACGTATAAATCGTTAAATCTGAAAAATCGAATAAGCAACGAAACGTTGGAATGCGGTAGAAAATTGTAACGTGGATGGCGATGGAAAAATGAAATTCGTAGATGAAATTTGTTGAGAACACCGACGTCACAGTTGACACGACGCAGCCACCGAAACGGTTTTTTACGGGCTGAAAATTCCTTGAAAGGCGGGGACTACCTGTTACTCGAAGAAAGAAGGAAGAAAGAGCGAAATACCGAGAATGGATGAGAATCTCTGCGGAGGCACAAAGAGAGCATCAAGACCTCGAATGCACGTGCGTGCAACTAACGCCGACCGGAAGTCGATAAAAAGCTGCTTCACCCTCGTCACTCGGCGGCAGCTCCTCCTCATGGGAACCAGCCTCTTTCTTTTCTCTTTATTCCTCCTCGCTCCTCGTTCGCATTTCTTGTCTCGTCTTTCTCCCTCTCGCGCACCCACCCCCGCGCCGCCGCGCCGGCCACCCCTCCGTCCGGGAGAAAAGGTTTCTTTCAAGTGGCCCGGTAAACTTGAAAACCTTCCTCCGAAGATACACTTTACTCTTGGTAGGTGTTTCTTTCTCGCAGGATGTCTCACTCGAGAAGTCTCGCGGGGATACTCTCTCTTTTCCCATACAGTTTATTTTTACTTTATGTTAAAGGGACTTTCTGCCATGTTGGCTTAAAAAATAACCAATATCTGGCATTCTGTTGTCCTAAAGTATTAAGTTCAAAGAGTATTAAAACTCGGTTTACGGAGATTTCTTATGGGATTTCTATCACCGGAGTCGCACTTTAATACGGCGGTCATCAGACTTATTTCGCGACGGAACACTTCCTTCTTAATATTTTAATTAAATATGTTACGGAGCCGTGTAAGTAAACAAAATAAGCGAAAACCAGGTTTTACGTTTATTCTTTAACCCTTTGCACTCGAGGATTTTTTTCTGGTATCTACCAGCAACTCGAGATGCTTTCTTGGCATTCTATCGTCACGAATGCTAAGATTACATTGATTTCGATAATGAGATCTCTAATTTGAGATTCGAGAATCAGATCACTGTTGCCTCGACGACGATCATTTTATTGACACTTCGAGTTCCAAGGAAATTAAACCTAAAGGAAACCTAGAGAGGGTTAATATATTAGAGGATTAATAGCAAAGGGTTAATAGAAATCGTGCAAAAATAGATAACAGGTAGATAGTTTACGATACACAAACTTTACGTAAACTGGCTCGTTCTCTTGATTGATATTTACGCGAAACCCTTGCACGGGCCTCGTGGTGCCCCAGAGGGCTCCGTCGAGCACCCTTTGAGTGTGGCTGCTTTAATAAGTGAAGAGCATTTACTAAAATTAATCAGGAAGCTCGAACAAAAATGAATTTAAATATATGCTTGTCTTTTCATACGGACAAAAGTCGGTACAAGTGATTGGCGAAAAATATAAAGGGTTTCTTATAAAACTTTGTGAAATTTGGAGCGGATGAAAACGACCGGGCTCCGTACACCTATTGTTAATTCATCACGACGCACATCTTTTGCCAACTGTATCAAGACAACTAGAACGAATTCCGGTTTGTAACTTTAAGAGTATATTTTCTAGATTTTTTAGTAATGATTAAGGTAACAAAAAAAAAAAACAAAAGAAATCGAATTTTTTCAAATTGGCAAACAGAACTTAGGTCGTAATTAAACTAACTCTTCGTATTTAAAACGTTTGAAATAAAATTACAAAAATATTTGAAGTAGAGGAAGTAGATTCGTATTTACTGGGCTGGTATGCAAGGAAATAATTCTACTAAAAATTGAAAATTTTCAAACCATGTTCCTATGACTACAAGTAGTAACTCTGCCAAATCTACGTGTTTATAAACCATTTTATAAACACGTATCGGAGTTATACATATGCAGAAAACGAATTGATGCTTAACTCTTTGCGGTACTGGAATTCAGGTCATAAAATAGACCCATGTTGCACAGGAATTTTATTGCATTTTAAATCAAACAAAATTGTTATATTTTTATTAATAAAGGTGTCACACTTATACACATGCAGCTATTGCAAAATCTCGAGGTGGGATTCAAAATATCCCACCATGCATTACGGTCCATGGAAAAGGTGGGACACTTTTAATCCCATCATGCCCCAAACAGTTAAATGAAAGCTTTCTTTAACAGTACAAATGAAAAAGATGTAATGTAACACAAGTGGCCTAAGACTGCGCAGCACCGCTATAGTACTAAAGTTAGGCAACTTCATATGACTTGTAATATTCACATTATTTAATATACCTGTTTGCACGTTTCGCAACGAAATGACTGTTCGCTTCGAAACAAAGATCAAAACAACGCCGTCCAATATAGTTGTGCATTAGTGGAGGGTATGAAAGAGGGCGGAGAACGCTAACCGCGTGGGTCACTCACTCGGCTGATAAACCTCTGTTCGACGACGTGTCACTGACCCTCGCATCTATCCTCTCTTCTCGTACGTCACATTTTACCTCTCCCTTTCTATATTATTTTCATATTACGTAAATTTCATTCGGACCAATCGTGATAACCAATAACGTACATTTACGAGCAGAACGACACCCTCGACAAACGGATCGTTGCAATTGATTTATAGCTACTTCGTAATTGATTTATTTGTGAAGCTGTATATAGGGTGTCCCACAAGAGAATTTAAATAACATTAACATGTTAAATTATGTTCGTGAAAATAAGGTCTAAGTAAGATGACCGTTTAGTAGTCCGCACCCAAAAATTCTCTGACGCAATTTTTGTCTAAAAAATCTTTACGTACTGATTTTGACGAAAACGTGAAAAGTTCTAATTTCCTTAAGATATTCCGTCTCACTGTATACTAAATTTAACAATCTGAAATGAAAAACATAATTCGCCAAATTGTTACGCACACAGTTTTCATTAGACCGAGTGTGCTAATATTTTAAGATAACGATGCCAACTACGATACTTGTAAATTACTCCACTCATTAGATCTAAACCAGACCTCGGCAAAGGTCTCCTTAGAAGGACCTCTGGTGTCCTATGCTAAAAATTTTAAACTTCGTCACTTTTATTTTCTGTTACATGCAATACTTTAACCGAAACTATTTTGTTTGTTAATTATTGTATAGAAATTCAGAGATACAATTTATGATTAATTGCGTGGAGCCACTCCATGTATAATAAATTGACGAAAAAAGTTTGATGAATTTGGTTGATTCATAAATAACATCCACTGTGAGTAATACATGTTTATGCATTCGTAGCAAGTGAAAACGCGGAAAAATCTACAAGGATCTATAAGCGAATGTAAAAATGTATAAAATATCGGCAAGAAAATATACGTTACACCGTTTGAAGGATAAGACGTACTTTTATTTAAATCTCAAGTCGTTATCTCAATCCGTGAATATATGAATTTACATGTCATCCGCAGTCTAATAATAAATAATCGTACTTTAGGGAACTCTTCTGCAGGTAGCACCTTCAATTTTTCTGTTAAAATAAAAACAATTGACTATTATATAAAAATCAACGATGACAATTATATTATCGATTAAGATTTGTTACATTTTCAAAGAAATTTCAAGTCAAGAAACGGTGGCTATACCGTAGATCAACTCCCAATAGTTCCCAAATTAATAAAATTATAAACTTCTTAATCAATAAATTGTACGAAATGTGTAAGTTTCTTTATTTTCATTCTTGGATTGTTTATATTATTATTTTCAATCAATTAAATCTGTATCTCCGATACAGTAAATAACATTATTTTTTTTTTTTTTTAATTTCAGATGATCTGGTGATTAGGTACCACTCCTGCTAGTCCAGGTGGATAGGATCCACGTAATTGGCCATAAGTGGTATGAAAATTACATTTTGTTAATAAAATTTAGTAGATTGACAGTACGATCTATGTAATTTCAATGAATTGTTTCAGTTTTAATTTTAAAATAGATTAGAGTTTTAAGTAATCGATTGAAATTTGCCAACGTTATATACCAAACAAAATAAAATTTGAAACAAATAAAAGCAAAACTTACAGTAACCTCTTAAAACTATTATTATTATTATTATTATTATTATTATTATTATTATTATTATTATTATTATTATTATTATTA